TGCAAACAGACCATTTTGCATTTTAATAGTTCTTAGAAGAAATATCTACCGATATTAAGCAAAATATCTTTAGTTAGAAAGCTATGCTATCTCTAAAATCTGCTTCTCAAGACAGGCTTTCTATTATTGTACCCATGTATCCTAGGTTATCTCCTTTCCAGAAGAGGACCTGAAAATCTTTCTACATTCTAATTTGCCTCCTTTGAAAGAACAAGGTTTATATTGTCCTCCAATGAGATGCCCGGTTTGGAATGTAAGAGGGCTATTCCTTTCATCTCATGATACTTGTTATACTTGCCCTAGTGAATTTTACAAATGCATGTATTTTCACAGCCACTCTGATCCATGGACGGCTTGCTTTACCTGAAGTCAGCTGAAACTCAGATCTTGTTACTGAAGCTCTCATGCTGGCTGGGAAGGTGTGGTGGGTGGTGGGATAAGAGGACTAGAGGAATACTGGCTAAGGAAATGCCTCTGGAGTTCACTGGGTCTCCAGAACAGAAGCAGAGTTTGTGAGCAGAAGAGTGAATGAGTCTGAGCCTCACCCAAAGCTTGGAGACCCTGGTAGGCTCCAAACCAAGGGAAAGTTGGAAACTTTTTTTAATCTAAAGAACAAATCAAGATAGAAATTAAGTTTCAAAAGTAAAACAGTTTCAATAAGAGACAGGCAATGATAAAAAGCAAGTTCCAGAGGTGGAATTTAGAAAGATAACTTGAAGCAGTTTTAGGTCTTCTAATGGTGAGTCCTTAGACAAGGAAATGTGAAGAAGACCAAATTTGTCCAGCATTTTCAGACACTTAGTCAACATTCACTATTTGCCATGGTCTGGCCAAGCATTAGATATAAAAGGTGAAGATGATCCAGGCCTAGTCCTCAGAATTCTCACAATCCCCTCCAGGAGATGGAAACAAGCCATCTACTTTCTACATCGTCTCTGCAGTACAAAGAGGATGGTCACATGGGGTCATGAGGAGGAACAGAGAGCACAGGCTGCACTGCCCAGTAAGGCCCTGAGGAGGCGCTGCCTGAGTGGTACAGGGTGAGGAAGATTAAGTAGATAAAAGAGCAGGGAAGTATTTTCTAGTTGGAGGAGAAAAACCAACTAAAGCCAGAGAATGAAAAACAGCATGGTGTCAACAGGAGCTGCTTGCAGCTTGGTACTGCTGGAGGGTTGACTGTAAATTGCTATAATAAATTAGATTATTTTCCCTTCACTGTACTTGAGAAGTTAGGTCTAGAATCACTGAATGCATTGTTTTCAATACTTGTTTGGCCCTTTCATAGTAGGCTTGAAATATTCTCAAGATGGTAGAGAACTATATTCTCTGTTCTCAGTGGCAGATCATCTAAAAATTAGATGAACATCCTTTCTCTTATTTCCTTCTTGTCTTTGATTTGAATAAAATTGAATAGTGAAAAGTCCAAAGCCCTTCAACATTCTTTAGAGATTTCCTGACAAATTGACATTGATCCAGCAATCCACGGTCCACACATATGGTTGTTTAATTAGCTAGCACTTTGCAGTAATGAGAGGTAGTTTGGCTACTTATGGTGAGGAATGGAAGGTTAGATAACTTGGAAAGGATTCAAATATAAAATTGCACCTACCTAAAGGAAGTGCAGGCACTGGAAAACAGATAAATGTATCCGTGCTGAGGAGAACCCCATGCAATAGGTATCAGCCAGTATCTACAAATTATGGCAACAGATAACAAGCAAGTAGTCAACTGAGGGAAGCAGAGAATAAAGATTATATATTGTACCTTTATTCCAAAAGGTGAGTGGGAAGGAATTCTATGGGATCCAGGGGAAGATATTTGGAAATCTAGAGGGATATTAAGCATCAAGCCATAATCTAATAGAACACAGTTACTACTCTAACTCACGGTCAGGATTGCAATTCTCAGGGGAACATGTAATAAGATCAAAGCACGGTCCTGAAGGTAAAAGGACCAACAGTGTAACAAGGATGAGAACAGCAGGGTGTAGACAAACAGTAAAACTATATGTGGTTACTGGAAGTTGTACATCACGTGGGCCCTGGGGTTTAGGAACAACGGAGCAGAGTGGAAATGCCACACTGAGTCGTAGCTGGACTGGCCAGAAGTGTGGCCTGGGCTAAACCACCAGATAGATGGTCTCTTTGAACCAAAGACAGGACAAGGCTGAGCCTGTAGGTAGGATATCACTGGCACCTGGTGCTGGGAGAGGGGGCTCCAGAGGTTAAGAATCAGTGTGTCCTTAGCAACAAGCAGCTCACATTTCTTTATGAGGTTGACCCTGAAGGATGTGGCCACAGTTGGAGACGCCTTCGTTACTTATCTGAGCTTTCAGCCTTATACTCTTCTCACAAGAAAGAATGAGATTTTTCAGTGTCACTTGCTCTAATTATGGGAATCTGGCTGTTAATAATTACTGCTTCCCGTTTTAAAGTGTTCTTAGGCTGTTATATCACAGTCCATTCTAATTTTGATGACAATCAAACATTAAGAAAGCCAAGAGGAGTTCAGTGAAGGGAGAGGGTGAGTCCATGTCTGGGGAAAAAGTATGAGTCATTTCAGGTGGAATTTGTAGTCGTCCTGAAGCATGAAGAATGTCAGTTGGTGGGATGAGAATGGAGAGTGATCCAGTGTGAGAGAATATCTAAGAAGAGTCAGAGATGACTAGATTGTGTAGTCCAGTCTAGCTGGCGTATAAAAAGTTAAAGAGCAAAATAGGAGATAGATAAATAGAAGTAGATAGAAGTTCCAATAATTCCCCAAATTATTTCAAAAATATGCTTCAAGAATATTTTTAAAGTATTTGTTTCATTTATACTGCTAGTTTATTTTTATTTATAGTTTTGCCCTTTATTTGTTTGTTTCTTCTTTGTAAGAGTCCTTTTTCATTTTTTTAAATTTTAAAAATAAAAGAAGGAAAACATTAACAGACAACAACCTTTTACAAAATAGCAAAAGAACAGTACAGACAATACAGAGTTACAAAGTGGTAGGAAATTAACAATGTTTATTGTATTACATATTGATACCTTCAAAGTGGTTTCTCATGAAAACAGATAGAGATATGCAGTATTGATCAATCAAGGACTCACTGACAGTTTCTTTCAGCAAAGAAGTAGAAGACAGTAGAACAACTATGTTAACTATCCTGTATATATATATATATATACATACAAAATTTCTCCTTCTTTCCCTTCTGTAAGAGTCTTTTTTCTGTCTGACTTGTAGTTTAAGTAACATTTTGGTCATTCTTTTAAGATTATGGTTATTATTATTATTCTATAATAATAATAATTATATTAACCATAATAATAATAATTATTAGTAGCCATTATTATTCTCTAATATTTTCTTATGAAAAATTGTTCTTTTTTAATAGAAGTAGAAAGAGTGATTTTTAACATTTTCTTTATTAATTTCTACTTGTGTTACATTAAAGTAAAAAAGAAGTGAGGCTGGAGAGAGGGATAAGGTCAGAGGTTAAGCTCAGGACTTCGCTAGGAACAAAGTAGCAACTGAAGTTACAACATTTTCCTAGCCAGAACTGAGCTTAGAAAAGAGTGGTATTAATCACAGGAAAACATCAGATAGGCTCCAAATGAGAAGCACTCTATACATAGCTGGTCTGTGCTCCTTAAAGAATGAATGAAAATGCTTCAGAAATTTTTACCTATGGAAGACTGAGAAACTATTACAAGGTGAATTAAATATATATGACAACTGAATGCAACGTGTGGTTTGAAATTATTTAGCTAACTGTAAGTATGTTCTTGGGATAACTGAGCTTATTTGACTAATCTGCATAAGGCTTTAGATTTAAAAATCTGCATAAGGCTTTAGATTAAAAAATTTGAATGCACTATGGTTATGTGTGATGATGTTCTTGTTTGAGGGAAATGTATTAGGAGTGAGAGGCATCGTGTTTCCA